TGTAAAATCCCGTTTCTAAGATCGAATAATAGGCTCAAGTCTTTGGATTCAGTGTGCAAACTCCAAGTTAAAACAAAACAAAGCACCCAGGAATAGAAAAATCTCCGGACACTGAAGATGTAAATACTGAAAGCAACTGGAAATGCTACTTAGGGGGAGTGCCCATCTGAATGCAGGCAGTGCTGGGGAGCACTGCCTAAACAGACACCAAGGGCCACACCAGAACCCTCCTTCAGGAGGGAAGAGTAGTTGAAGGTTTGGTCTCCCTTCAGGGAACCAAGAACTCATGTATGATTCTTTAAGAGCATCGGTCACCAGCAAATGCACCTTTACTGATCACTAAAGATTCCGAAGAGAAAGAAAAGGAGAAGACTGGCCACTTCAGGAAGGGGATGGGAGTAGGGTGGAGTTGGAAACAAATATAAATGGTTAGCTTCCACCATGTGAGCTTTATGTTGCTGATTGTCAGCTTAAGTGACAATCAATGCCTATCCATGTCAGCTGTGACTGTCAACTTGGCACAGCCTAGAACAGTGGTTCTTGACCTTTCTAATTGCTGTGACCCTTTAATATAGTTCCTTATGTTGTGGTAACCCCCAACCATAGAATTATTTTCCTTGTGACTTTATAACTGCAATTTTGCTACTGTTACAAATCATAATGTAAATATCTGATATGCAGGATATTTCATATAGGACCCCCTTAAAGGATTGAGAGCCTCCGACCTAGAGCCATTTGAGAAGGGAGTCTCAGTTGAGGGGTTGTCTATGTCAGATTGGCCTGTGACAATGTCTGTGGGGGCGTGTCTTAGTTGCTAATGGTGAGGGATGACTGGGGATGTGACTCACTTGGCAGATTGCTTGCCTAGCATGTACAAAGTCCTGGATTCCATCCCCAACACCATATAAACTGTGTGTGATGGTGAGTGCCTATAATCCTGGACTGGAGAGGTGGAGACAGGAAGATCAGGAGTTCAAGGCCATCCCAGGCTGCATAAGTGAATTTGAGGGTACAAGACCTTGTTTCAAAAACGAACAAGCAGTTCAAGGAAAACTGGGCATGGTACATTCCCTGCCTCTGAACTGGGATGAAACGTAGATCATCAGTTGCTCTCATGAACATTTATCCACAAGAAACAAACACTTGTGGTCACACAGAGCCAATGTGTGGGTTTTATTGTGGCTTTATTTGTAGTAGCTCAAAGTGTAAACATCCCAAACATCTTACATAGAGGAGTGGTTAAAAATCCTCTACTCAGTCCCTTACACAATGGAATACTACTCACCAACGAAAAGAGAAAACTACCAACATGCAGCAACTCAGATGGCTCTCCAAAACCTTATGGCTATGAGGATCCCAAAGGTCACATGGCAAGGGATAACAGTTATGTGACATTCTGAGGAAAGAATGGGGAAGAGGTTTGTGGTTGCCACTAGCAACAGGGATATGATGGGGGGGTGATCTGTGTGAGAAAAAGTTCAGTGTTCATGCTGTGTCTCCATTGTGGTGACAACTGCACATGTCTAGATAAAAGGGATAAGTGTGTGTGCATGTACACATACATTCACACACAAATACACAAGTCCTGACATGTCATAAATACATTGCAGCAGGTTTTGATCCTGTAATAGAGTGGGTAAGATATCATCTTGTGATGCTATGAAACTTTGCAACTTTCTATAACTCTAAATTTCAAGTCTAAACTATATTACCGTCAGGCTAGGGACACAGCTCAGTGTAAGTGTTTGCCTCCTAAGCATGAGGACCTGAATTTGTGTCCCCAGAACTCCCATAGAAACTGGGCATGACGGGGCACACTTACAATGCTAGCTCTGAGCAGGTGGAGACTGGAGGATCTCTGGGGCTTAATAGCCAGCTGGTCTAATCAAATGGATGACTTCAATGTTGACATCAGGACTGCAACCTCAAGCATACACACTCACAAATGCACACACATTCACACACATACACATGTGCACACACACATACGCACACATGCATGTACACATATACACATTCATACACCACACACATTTTTAAATTAAAAAATTTAAAGTGCCCCAGAAAGTAAAGCAAAAAGACCAAGAAAGCAGGTAGTGACAGAGCTCGGGGTCCCAGTTAACTAGACAATACCAGAACTTCTGAGTGGCAAGGAGCTGTCCATGGTGCTGAACAGAACCGGCTTCTCCAGCAGACCCCATTTCGACTCCTTCCCTATGACACCAACCTCCGCCCTCCTGTACACATTGCCCACTCCTACCTTTGTTTTCCTTGCCATCCCCACCCTTTGTGCAAGGCACCCCACTCCTTGTCAGGGAAGAGAGAGGACCCCTAAGAAGGGAGGCAATTGGAGAATCCCAGTGGTTGTGGGCAGACCTCAAATTACCATGGTTATCCTTGGGTGGAGTAACGCTGTGAGTTCTCTTTTCTTTATGTTCAGCTGTGTTCTCAGGCTTATGTAATAAAAGGATTACTTCTGAGATAAGAAGAATCAATAAAACTTATTATGCTTTAAAATACCATCGCAGGCTCCCTGGGGTTCGCAGCTCACTCAGATTTCTTCACACTTGCAAAGAAGGCTGCCCAGCCCAGCTGACGCCCTGCCCCAGTTTTTTCTAGCTGCAGTGACAGCCTGCCTCCCTCCCACCTGCCTCCCTGCTGGGTGTACCCTGGGGGTCCATCCCCTTTCCCTGGCCCCACTCCCACCTCGATGCTGCCAGCTTCTATCTGCCCTTCGAGGCTTCGCATGAGCATCTCCCTTGAAGAGCATCCCTATCCAGAGGAGATGGTAGCTTTCTCTGCCACTGCCCTGGCTGGCATATCAGCATTGGACTGATCTTTACATGCTTTACCTCTCTGACATTGTACACCATCACCTATGACCCCTGGCTCCTACTGTCATATCATACATCACTGAGTAGCTCAGAGGGTAAATGGGGAGAGATGAGAAGAGGACAAGGTTATAGGTGATTCTCCGCCCTGGCTGGCTGTGATCTCTCTCCAGGGTTCTCTGGGCCTGTCTCCTTCCTGCTTTGAGGAAGCCTTCCCCATGGTCCCCCACATTCTTTTCCTACAACTGGCATTACCGCACCCTCGGGAATAGGAGTAGCGTTTGTTGATGTTTCCCAGAGTGTGGCACAAGGTAGGTGTCCTATAATTGCACAATGAATAGATGAATGAGTGAACTAATGGGTGTTTCTGCTTTCGTACTCTTCCCTTGGGGGCAGGAATCTCTATCTGATGCCCAGTTCTCCCCACTCTGTCCTCTAGGAAATGACCTGTCCCGCCCGGTGATGTTGGCCTGCTCAGGCAGACGGGCACTGCATTGAACACTGTATTGATGAATTGTCACCCACTGTTTGAACTCACTGAGAAGTGGGCTGTGCCCTTCCCTTCAGACCCACGCACCTCTGTCTCCACGTGTTCTCCATGACCCCTTGTCTGGAGATGGGCTGGTTCCCCTAATTCTGTCAGCGAGGAGAGGACAGCAAAACAGCCCGGGAGTGAAAATGTCCCACCCTTGAAAACAGCTGGAACCATCTCAACAGTGTTCATCCTGTGGAGTGAAAGAGACAGCAACAGGAAAGAAGCCGGAAGGAAGCTCAGCCTGCCTCAGCTTCCCCAGTTTCTTCTGGGTGCCTTGAGGCCCGGACTGGATGATGTGATCAGTTGCTGTTTGTTCTGTGGAAGCCTCCGGTCCGTGTCAGTCCAAGAATACTCTCTGCTCTCTATGGGAAGCCCCAGCTGTCTGCCTCAAAGGGGCTTCCCCTCTTAGTTAAAAATACACTCATTCAGACAGAAGTATGACTCCCAGATGGTTCTCTGCACCATAGGGAGCAGACACCTATGACTGATGTGGCCCCAGGGTCACTCCCTTGGGGCGGGGTTGTGGAAGCTAAGAGATGTGTGGAGTAGGCTTTGTCCTCAGGGTCCTCTTATCCATACCAGCCACCTGCTTTTGTGGCAGAGACTAACAGATCCCTTGTGAGACTGTCCTGGTAACAGGAGAAGAGGGTGGGGTGCTATCCCCACACTGGGTGGAGAAATAGCTGGGACTCAGGGTGTGGGAACAGCCACAGAGACCCTGATTCAAGCTCCAGACCCTCTGCTTCCTCCTGGGAAACCACAAAGCAGGAACCATGAGCAGAGTTCCCACACTCCCACTGTAACCTCAGCTCAGTCCCCACTTACTTAGGGCCTGTCCTTGCTTCTCTTTCCCCTTCAAGCCAAGTAGTACCACTTTCAGAAGCCCCCCACCCCACCCCCACCCCACCCCCGCTTTTTCCCTTCATCTCCCATGTATCCCCTGTGTACCTCTAAGCTGCCCACTTTCTTCCATAGCATGTGGCTACCAGCCTGCAAATTCCCAGGCTAAGCTGGGCACAGAGTTTTGCACACAGTGGGCACTTAATAAATGTGTGGGTCAGGGCTGGAAAGGGCTCAACAATTAGGAGCACTAGCTGCTCACAGAGAGGACCCAGATTTGATTCCCAGCACCTACATGGTGGCTGCTAACTATCCATAACTCCAGTTCTAGGAAATCTGATGCCCTCTTCTGGCCTCCAAGGGTACCAGCTATGTTTATGGTGCACATACAAATGCACAGGCAAAACAATTATACACATAAAAATAAATAATATAAAAATATTTTTAATGTGTAGGTTTTCCCCTGGCACCTTCTTGACCACACTCTAAACTCTTTCTGGTGAGGATGTAGTGTGTGGATCTCAGTCACCAGCAGAATTGATTCCATTGGTCCCAGCAGACCCTGGGAGACTAGGACCTGCTGCCTGGGCTCCAGCAGCTGAGCACCCTGCTTGCCTGTCCTGCCTCTTGCCTCTCTGCTCCCATCCCTCTCCAGACCCGTGATTCTTCCATTAGGCCTCATCTTGGCGCCAGCTTTCTTTGTCCTGTCCCTTCACACACGTGCTCTGTCTGGCCAGCTGCCTGGCCTGCGAGGCTGGCACCTTTGTTCTCTCTGTCCTGGTCCCCTATAAATAGCTATTTTGTCTCCTTGGTGACAAGGAGTATGTTGAGCAGGCCTGGCCACCTCCCTCTGTCCCGTAACCAGAACAGTCATGGAGTGGCTATGTGCCCCTGGGAAGAGAAGTCTTCTCTGGGCCTCTGCCACCAGCTCTGGATCCACATTCCCCTCTGGATGTGACCACTGTCTCTGGATCACCATGGATCCTCCCTCGACGCTCAGGAAGGTACAGAGCTGGGAACGGGCTGAGCTAGTTGGTGCCTGTCAGGCTGGACAAGAAAGGACAGGACTTGAGATCCTTGAGGGGGACTCATTTAGAGGGTTCACTGGCAGGGTGCCTGCTAAGTACACCCTGGTTAGGAATCCGATGTGAGCTCTGTGTTCCCTTCCAGGAACCCAGGAGCCTGAACTGGACCCTAGGGCTGTGTGGATCTAAGGAAGATGCCTAAAGATGGAGGAAAGAGATGAGCCTTGTGTCCCAGGGAAAATGCAAGCAGAGGCTGCTGTTCCAGGGCTGCCTGCCCCTGGCCCTCAGCCCTCTCCTCTCCCTCTCTCTCTGCCCTGATCTCCTGCTAGGCTGGGACCTAGGCCTATTCTCTCCCATCAGATGCCAAAGTCTGAATCTTTTCATAACTGTAGCTCTGAATTCAAGTCTCCAGGTACCCTTCCGGATCCAGGATGTTGCTGTCTTTGTCAGCAGTCCATATTAGGAGTTATTTTCCATGGGTGGGGAGCGCTTGGTGACTAGGACCTTTAGAGAGTGAGGGGAAGATCCTCCAAACAGTTTGGGAATGTTGATTGGGAAATATGCCTCATGGCTGCCCAGGCAAGAGAATGGTCTCAGGGTTCCATGGGTATGAAGGGACAGGATGTCTTTTCCCTACACAGCACTGAATCTCTCCGGAAGAGACCAGCATTGGGTGGGGACAATCACAGGTCCCCTGGTGATTGGCATGGAACTAGAGGACTGCAGATGGGTGGTCCTCAATAAGGGGTAACTGGGAGTGCTGAGGCTAGCCTCTCAGTGGGACTTCCTCCTACCAGCTCCAGAAATTGAGGAACCTACAGAGATCCACCGCTCATCCTCTGAGGATGGGCCCACCCAAAGAGGGCCATGCGACTCAAAGCTGCCTGCTTTCTTCCATGGTACTGGCTGCCAGCGTGAGGATGGGCCCACCTTGAGACTCAGCATGGGCACGAGACAAGGAAGGGTTGGCAGGGCGGGGCTGGCTGTGGGAGGATGAAGGCTAGCTTCACGTTGCAGGGCAGGGAGGGGTCTCTCTCCATGTGGGTGGGGTTCTGGGGATGGAAGAATTCCCCCACAGACACACGCTCTCCCCCTTCACACCAGCACCACCGTCACCACCAGCTCAGAGGAGCCTGTTTATTCCAGATTGTCCCTACCCCTTAGGCATTAGGTCTGCACATGGGCCCTGGTGTAGCCACAACCCTGCTCAGCCTCTTTCTGCCTCTTATTCCCAATCCATGCACTCTGGTTCCCACCCTCACCGACACTTCCCTGCCAGGTGTGAGTCTCTAATCTTCCCACGGGGCTCCCACTGAGCTCATCAAAGCCACTATCCACAATCACATGCCTAAATGGGACCCTGAAACCCCACCCCACCCCCACTCCCAGTAAAAACCCACAAAACACATGCATTTGAATTTTTTTCCTTTGCAGATTTTTTTTAGTAGACATAGTCTTTTTTCTCTCTCATTTTACAGCAAACTTTGCAAATATAGATTTTTTCTGTACAATAGAACAGCTACAGTGTACAATGAAGATGGGCCGGGGTGGGGGACCCCACAATGCTTCCCAGCCTGCACCCCTCTTGCCACCCTGTCCTGTCCCCAGACACAGTTTCCATCTCCCTCCTGGAGTCCCACAGCCTCGGGAAGCTGCCAGAGTCAAAGACAGCCCATCTGCCTCAGCTGTACCCCTCTGCACTCCACAGACTGGGAGATCATATTTAGGGGGGTGCCATAAAGCGCTGGCCACACTCGGTTACGCCCCCCATGATAGGTGATTTAGGTTTTTTTTAAAGAATTTCACTTTTATATATAGATATATTTTTTAAAAAGGAAGGAAAGAAAAAGGAAAGAGAGAAGAAAGGGATAAAAGGAAGAGAAGACTCAAAACAAGAAAGATAATGGAAAAAATTCCCCCTCCCCCACCCCCACCCGTAAGACACAGTTTTCTGAAGTCCCATGTGTGCATGTGTATGCATGTGCATGTGTGTGCGCATGTGTACCTGTATATGTGTTTGTGCGTGTGTGCATGCGTGCGTGCATGTGTGTGTGTATGTGCGTGTGTGTGTGTGTGTGTGTGTGTGTGTGTGTGTCTATCTTGCTTGCTTGCACCAGGCAGCAGGCACAATACAGTTTACATGAAAGTTAGTATGTCTACTGTCATGGCCACCTGTGGCCTCCTCGAGCTGTCCCTGCAGGCCAGGCACTGAGCCCAGCAGCCCCTTGTTGTGCACTTATGTTGGGCTTAGTGTTGAGTCTCAGTCAGGGATAGCTGCTGCCGATGGTCTATCCTTTTTGGTCCACTGAGCATCACGAGTTTCGGAGAAGACAGGGCCAGGTTACTTTGGGCCCTGCCGAGGGATGGAGGGAGATTCAGGACTTGTGCTGGGCAGACACGCCCTTCCAATAGTCTAGGATGTCATGCAGGTCCTCATCTTTGGCAAACTGGACCTTCTTGCGCAGGGCGTGGCCAGCCGCCATGAACTCCGCATCATCCTTGTGCCTCCGACGGCTCAGTCTGAGGCGCTCCCAGATGCTCGGGGACGCCCTGCAGGTGTACTCAGGGCTAGAGGAATAGCTCAGGTTGTGGTACTGCGGGGACAGCTGCGAGTAGACGAGGTCTCGGGGTCGTGGCCGGGTCAGAGGCTCCAGGATAGATGCCTTGCGGCCACCCAGCCCCTCATGAGTGGGTGGAGGTGGTGGTGGAGCAGGTGGCTCAGCAGGGTGGGAGCCGGGGTACGAGTGCCGATGCTCGCCATACTGACGACTCTTGTCGGCCTCGGCCCGCAGCACAGTGGCCGCGGGTGTCACAGTGAGGATGGTCTCGGGCACAGGTGAGCTTTTTTCAATGTACTTGGTCTCAGTGGCTTGGGCCTTATGTGTGCCGGTGGCCTCAGCCCGGAAGGTGCGAGGGCTACGTGCAGAACCGCTGGATGAAGTGCTGGCCCTGGGAGGACCAGGCGCAGCCTCCACACTGTGGTGCCGCTGCAGGCCACCATGGCCGAAGGCATCTTTGTATACAGGGGACAGGAAGCTGTGCTTGCTAGCTAGAGGCTCGGATAGCAGTACCAGCTGCGGCTCAGCCGCAGACACGGCCCCAGATTTGGCGCCCTGGAAGGAGGTGGACTCGGACTTGAGTGCGTCGATGCAGTTGTTAATGATCTGGTTGACCCTGTCCACCTCCTTGGCGATAGTGGAGATCTCGGCTACTGACCCCTGGTTTTCCGGACCGCCAGGTCGGCTCAGCTCACAGCTTCTGCGTTCTGCTGGCTCCCCTGTGCGCACTTCAATGTAGTTCCCCTTGGTGGCTTTGGGGGTCTCACTACTCTCCACCAGCTTATACTGCTCCACATCACTGGTGGTGGCTGGCAGGTAGGGTATACGAGTCACAGCCTCGGGGCCCAACAGCGGGCCCTGGGTCAACGGGGCTAGCCCAGGTGCCTCAATCTCAGGCCCGTACTTAAGCTCGATGATGGTTTTTTTCAGGCTGCCAGCTGCTGCCGCCACCGCCTTCTTATGTTTCTCCTCCTGTCGCCTCCGCTTGCGCAGGCAGTAGTAAACGGCGCCCAGAACGAGCACCATGCCGAAGAGGCAGCCCAGGATGGTCATGATATAGTGAGTGGCTGTGGAGGGGCTGGGCACAGGGCCAGGTGGGCTGGGCGGCTTGGGAAGGCAGATGGTAAGGCAGGTGTGGTTATGATGGGTGCCAGAGCTGGTGGAGACCACGCAGTATGTGTAGTTGGTGAGGGTGTAGAGATTGGTAAGGCGGATCTCCTCCTGGGGCTGGGTCAGCTTGGACACGGTGAACGATTTGCTGTTGTTGTACTGCTCCAGTGTGTACATGCGGTTGAATGGGCTCGGCAGCTGCACCATGATGGTGGCCGAGTTTTGGGTCAACTGCTTGACTTTCATGGAGGGACGAGCCTCCATCTGAGTGGCCAGAGTAGTCAGGACCACCAGCGGTGTGGTGCCGTCACCAGAGAAGCACTCGTCATCGGGACAGGGCACATCGCTGGGCTCTGGTGGAGGGGGTGGTGGCGAATGTCCTGGCTGTGACCTGCCCGGCACTGGGCGAGGTGGGCCAAGTACCTCAGCTGTGTAGGAGTCCTCAGTACATACAGACTGCAGTTTGCTGAGGATGCTACGTTGGTGGCCATGGCGACCCTGGCCCAGCAGGAAGTAGCCAGCGTAGACGGGAGGTGACTCACACTGTACCCGGTCATGGGTCTGTGTGGCGTTGGTGAAGGCGGCCAGCCAGCGCAGGAAGCCCAGCAGCTCACAGGAGCAGTAGAAAGGGTTGCTGTAAATTTCACACACCGAGAGCTTGGCCAGGCCTGCGAAGGTGCCGCTGCCTAGCTGCTGGATACGGTTCATGGAGAGGTCTATGTTGATGATGTTGGGACACTCCCAGAAGGCGCTGGCCATCACCACCTCAATGAGGTTGGCTTGCAGGTACAGGTACTCCAGCTTGCTCAGGCCCCGCAGCATGCCCTCTGTAAGGTTGCGCAGCCGATTGTAACCCAGCTGCAGCACCTGGAGGTTGAACTGGCCAGAGAAGGCCCCATCCTCGATATAGCCTATCTCATTCTTGGTGAGGTTGAGGTATGTGAGGTTCCCAAAGCGGCTCAGGGAGGCATACTGCACACTGCGGATGCGGTTCTCGTTAAGCCGCAGATCCACAATGGTGTTGTTGATCTGTTGGGGAATGGCCTCATAAGGCGGCTGGTTCTGGCTGCAGATGGCCAGCCACACGAAGCCCTTGTCACCCTCGATCAGCCAGCAGTCACCTTGGGCCAGCCCGCCTGCGTGCAGTAACGTGACGGCAGCCACAAGCACCCATGGTGCACCCCACCCGTGCCCAGCCATCTCGGGATACTGCCTCTGGGGACAGGGTGGAGGGCTGGGCAGTGCCCCCCAGGAGACTTAGGGGTGGGATGGGTCACTGCCTGCACTGTCGGAGTTGTCCTGTCCCAAGCTGCATGGCGCAAATGCTGGGAGGGAGAATGTCTCCCTCAGTGCCCACCACCCCAAGTCGTCCTCCCTGATCCTGAGGTGGCCACGACCCGCTTTCCCATGGGTCTGTGTGTCCTGGTGGCTTCTCCCGGCTCCTCTGCCTGAAGTACTCTCTGCTGCAAGACAAGAGAAAAGAGAGTAAGTCACAGAAAAAGCTCATGTCCAAGGTCACTGGGTGACTGTCTGCAGGATTCAGCCAAGCCACCCACCCGTGTCTTCTGTAAAATAGAAACCCTGATACTTGTCCTAGATCATGGGGCTGGGCTGAGAGGGTCTGGGATCACTAAAGCGAACATGCATTGGAGGATGTGATGTCCCCTAGGTGACCAGCTCACAGGTATTATGATGAATAATACAGTTCACTGAGCATAGCCTCTGATCCACAGGGTACGAGCCTAGAGAAAGGACTCAGAGTTCATCAGGCAATGAGCGGTAGGGCTGGGTAAGGGTGGGACATCCATCTCATTGACTTATATTGGCACTATGCCTGCCACCTGGAGTGCTTGGATGTCACTTCTCCCCAGAAGGGCTAGCCACAGCACCTTCAGAACCGCCTGCAGGGGGTGCTGAACACCCAGCCAATGTCCTCAGCCCAGGGTCCATCAGTTCTTCTTCTGCCCTCAGGGAGGCAGGCAGGGGAAATAACCAGCACACCCAGGGCTCATAACTAGTAGAGCGCAGGATGAAATCTCCCACCCACCTCTGGGCCTCAGTTGCTCCAAATGAATCAGCTGGCTGATCTCTGAGGCCATCTACCCACATAGCACCCAAGACTTGAAGCTGGCCCTCACATGGCGAAAGAGGAGGGACAGCCCACTTTGCCAAGAAGTCCTCCTGGGATTGGGGGAGATTGAGATGGCTCAGCAAACCAATGTCCTTGCTGCCAAGCCTGATGACCTGAGTTCTATCCCCAGGGCCCACATGGTGGAAGGAGAGAGTCAACTCCTGCAAGTTGTCCTGTGTTTGCCACCCCCCAATACACACAATTATTAAATAAATGTAAAACAATTTCTTTAATTAAAAAAAATAGTCCTCTCCAGGCTTAACAATGACATTCCCCACTTCCCAGGGCCAGGCCCATTTTCCCCCATCCCCAATGCATACAAGCAGCCTCCTCTCCCTATGACTCCCCAGCTATGCACACCCCCCAGGACCAGGACTGTGCCTCCCCCCAATTCCCAGAGCCCAGAGTGCAGGAGAATAGGGCTGTGGGGTGATGGGAAGATACCTCATGGGAAAACTGGGGTATTTTATACTCTGGTCCCCTTCTGCCTACTTTCAGGATAGAGAAATGGGTATTTGCTTGTTAATACAGGGATTTACAGCAGCCTTTGTCACCGCTCAGTGGCCTGGCCAGCAGCCAGCTGAATGTATTTCACCAATATTGACAGCCGCAACTAGGCTTCACTGAGGCGACTAAAATGAGGAGGAATATATATATTTATATTTCTTTCCTCTTTGCAAACTTCATAAACGGGACCTGGCTCCCAAGGGAATCTTTTTGTTTTGTTTTTTGTTTTTGTTTTTTTTTTTTGAGACAGAGTGGCTCTGTGTAACAGTTCTGACTCTCCTGGAACTCTCTTTGTAGACCAGACTGTCCTTGAACCCACAAAGATCCACCTGCCTCTGCCTCCCAAGTACTGGGATTAAAGGCTTGCACCACCACCAGGATCCATTTCTAATAGAGAAAGATGAACAGAATAGATTAGAGGCCCAGTGGAACCCAGGCACTGCCTTGGGGTTCAGCAGCCTGAGGTCTGCTTGGACCTTGTGTCCTGGATCTGGAGATGGGACACAGGACTTCAGAGTGGCATGATCTTTAGCCAGGACAACCTGGGAATTCCTTTGGGCTCCTCATCCTGGGTTTTGACCCCAATGTCAGGTGCACAGTGGTGGCACAATTCATCCATGATGCCTTGAAGTCTGTACCGACAGCCACAGGAGAGCTGAAGCCAGAGAAAGACCATTAGCGTTGTTCTTGAGGACACTGGCCCCGGCAGGCAGAGCCTTTCTGTCCCAGCCTCCAGGAGGGGTGTCGTCTGGCAAGAGATCTTAATCAGCTGTAATCTCTTGCTCAAAATAACTGAAAGTCGAGTTAAGTAGGATTACAGGACCCAAAGAGGCGCCTTGGTGTCTACTACGGTGTGCCAGCCTCCTACGCACACGGCTGCAGGTGTGCATGAGGGCATTTACATTCCTGTGTCCTCCTAGGTATGGGCCTGCATGAGCATGCTCACCTAGACGCATGGGACAGGCTATATGCAACTGCAAGGTCCTCTTTTGTCCCCTCTTACCTCTTTCATACTCCTTTGTCACCATGTCACCCCCATGCATGGCAGCCTAGTCATTGGTGCTATGACTCAGTGTGGGAAACAGCCCCTGCTCTCCATCACCCCCGTTGGACTGAGCCTTCCAGTATGACATCAGACATGCTGAATACAAGGGCCCTTGATTCCAGCCATGGTCTAGTCCTCTGCATCCTCCCCCCACCCCACCCCTGGGCTTGTCAACAATGCAGGGATCTTCAGTACAGGTCAAGGTAGGGACCCATGGCTGTTCCCTCTACCACAGCAAGTAACTCCAGCACAGAAAGACGGACCCACCTCTTGTGTAGCCTCTGCCTCACAGGGAACCTCACAACCTCAGCCTTGTGGGCCTCCAAATTCTCCTTCCACACTTAGCTTTACAGATTGGGGAAACTGAAATCCAAAAAGGAAGGCCCATCCTGGGTCACACAGTGAACTGGCCCACGCCTCTTCCTGTCTAGGCAAGAACAGGTTGAGAGGGCTGGCCCAATGACACCCAGAGCCATAGGCACAGAATCAGGTAGAAGCCACGGCACACGCCATGGGTCTTGGCCCAGAATACTAAGGCCATGGAGCCACTGTGGGGAGTAACCATCTACAGAACAGGCCAAATTGCCTCATGGGTATTGATGGCCTAGGATGGTGTCCCACCTCCAACCCGAGCTCTCCTGCCAAGCTCCTCCATTCATCCATTCACTCATTTCCATAATTCATTAATTCCCCTGGTCCTTACCTCACCCTACAGTCCCTTCGCTCCCCTCGTTTCTCCTTTCACTCTGTGCTTAGTAATTCACTCATCGGTCCACAGACCCCAGGGGGAAGGCAGTGCACAGAGCCTGCATGAGGGACCTGCATCCCAGCCCCAGCCCCAGTCCCCCATCTGGAGGAGATGCCCTTAAGTCCTGGACCATGGGCCACACTCCTCCACCCACGTGTGGACACCTGATGACCGTTGGACAAAATTCTTCTAGAATTTTCCACTGAAATAAGCAACACACTCAATCTGTGTGCCTCCTTCCATATTCACCTCCTCCTGCCCTTCTAAGCAAACTTTCTCAAAAGGGTGACACATGTTTCCCTCTGTCTCTTGGCCTTATCTTTTCCCAGCTATTTCCACCCTGAATCTAAGAGAATGATGCCTCCTGTCACTGTCACAGGTGACCTCTGAGCCACCAAATCCTGGCTTTCTGTCTTGTTAATACCATGGCAGCCTTTGGCACAGGTTTCCCCATCCTGTCCCTGAAGCTGAGTTCTCAAGTGGGCCTGTGGCTGCCTCTCAGCTGGACTGTCCAATGCTATCCCCTAACACTTTCCACTTAGCTGAACCCCATCAGTCTCCACAGTCCTAACATTTCCTAGCTTGCAGAGGTGTACAGATACGGGGGCCAACCAGGAGCTCCAAGGCCTAGTTTGGAGAATAGACTCCACTTACAGAGTGCAGGGGCCAAATTGGGGTGCTGGTACCAGTGAACTGCTCTGACACTGAGCTATCAGATGTAGGAAGTCTTGCATCACAGGGAGTCACTGAAGTCAGTGCTGGGAGCTGAGAGCCAGGCCACCTGACCCGGATGGAGATGGCAGAGGACCTGAGGGAGTCAAATAGCCATTTAAGGAACGGTGTGTGTGTGTGTGTGTGTGTGTGTGTGTGTGTGTGTGTGTGTGTGTGTGTGTGGAGGGAGGGAGGGGTAGAGGGAGGGAGGAAGGAAAGACATACCACAGGCCAAAGAAGCATTCAAAGATATCCTGGGGATGATCAGTGTGGCTTCCTAATGGACTTTCATTAGCCAGCTGACTCTCAGATTGACTGGGCAGCAAGACAACCTCTGGTCCAGCCCTGCTCTATGCGGTGCTCTCCCCGCAGCAGGGGAGTGCTGGGTGTGACATTTAAGCAAAGGACCCTCTAAGGGCTGTGAACAGAAGGGCACAGTCTGGCAGGTGGGAGGAGAGCTGGGGGGACACAGCTGGGCCATGGGCTGGTGGGCAGGGCATTACACAGAGGGTCTTAGGCGCTGTAGGAGTCCATCAAGCAGAAAGTAGGGTGAGCACAGCAGACAGGGGAGGAGGGTGCACGTGACCTGGGTTGTGGGTGTTCGGGGGCAGAGAGGAGTAGGCAGTGCCAGGCAGTATACCAGGCTATAGTGGAGTGGCTGTCGGGGAAAGGCCCAAGGTGACAAGGAGGGGAGGGGACTTAGTTTCCATCTGCTTCTCCCCCTGCCTGCTTCTCACCACTTCTCTCCTCTTAGAACAGATGGTATGGGCAGGGGGCAGAGAAACCGAGGCCGGGGAATCAAGACCAGGGTGCCCAAGCCTTCCATTTCCAACCTCAGGCCTCAGTTTCCCCACCTGAGTTTCCTTGGATATCTGCAGAGATTCTTCCTATAATGAGAGGGCCAGGACTTCATGTCTGAGGATGACATGCACACACATACATATGCAGACATACACACACACACACACACACACACACACCCCTGTGGGTGCTCCCGGAGAACCTCTGTAGCACAGGTCACCGTGGGGACAATGAAGCGTTCTGCATTTGTCTTGCCATCCCAACCCCGCAGCCCTTCCCTGATGATGAAGTAGAGTGTGGTGTTCCCAGCTTTTAAACTTCTTATGGTCAGATTTGCATAATCATGGCGGAAGAGTGGGACTGATCACATGTGTCTAAAAATATGGCTCTGTTCTCGATCACAGAGCTGGAAGAGTGGCCCGGGCAGAGTTGGAGCCGAGCCAAGGCTTCTGCTGATGGAGTGGACTTCTCTTCCCATCCTGCACTCCCAGGGCCAGTGCAGGCTGAGGGCCAGGGCAGG